TAATAATATCACATACCACACTAAGAACAGAATAAATGATTTATGTTTTCATTTTATAAAGGAACTTGGGTGTCGCATGGCATATACATATAACATCCACTAATTAGTTCCATAATATATTACATTAATTTTCTAGGTAATAATTCAATTGTGCCAGAAATAAATTTTTCTACAGTAGGGGGTAATAATGAGGTAAACTCATGTTTATAGCAATGCAATAAATTCATAATTTTATATTTTGTTATGTATTGTTTTGTATAATTTGCAATGTCTTAATAGTTTATTGTTTTGGTATAAACAATCGTTCTGGTGCTCTACAAATATCTCTTCAGCCTAACAAAGCTTCTCTTTTGTTAGGGCGCCTTTTTCTTTAGTCTCTTGTTCTTATATGTAACGCTTCACTGTGTACCACCTCCCGTCACACACGATAGCGCCACAATGGCTCGTTGAGAACAATTGCTAACAACTCGCGAAATTGAATTAAGTTCATTTCTTACACATTTATAATAAAATTAAAGAAAATAAAATACTTTTTCATTTTTAGAAATGATTTTTATACTTTTACATTCCCAAACCACTTTAAAAAATCTGAAAAAATCATTTTTAGTAGTTTTATAAACATCCAATATTATAATAATATTTTGAACATTTTTTCAAAAGTATAATAATTTCTTCAGATTCCAATTTTGTAATCAATTTTCATAAAGTATTATGTAAGTTACTTCTTTGCAAGTGAAACAAAGTTTTAAAATTTTTAAATATAAAGGCATTGTTAACATGAAATGCAACATTGTGCAGACAGGGAGAGTGGCATAAAGAATGCGAGGGGGGGAAAAAAAAAGAAAAAGAAAAAAAGAAAGAAAGAGGATCATTGCCCAAAATAATATTACTTATTTTGCAGAGGAAAAGTTTATACTGTCTTACTCACTTAATCCCTTTAAATCTCTATCAAGAAGGATTTTCAACACTGGGAGGGTAGCTGTCATCACTCGCTGAAGTTAAACCTCAACTGGTCTATTTAAAAAAGTCTGTACCGCACGGAGTGCAGAAGGAAAAAACTCCTTAGCTAAAAGTATAATGTACTGTTGGGACATTCAATTCTTTTTGTTGCACATCACATCACTAATTAAATTTTTTTTTCAATCACTGGGGAGTATCCTATTGCATCATATCAAATGATGAACATATCAGATTTTTTTTTTTAAATTGCCAAAATTTCGGTTTTTATTAAGCATTTTAAAATAATTACCTGGTCATCTCACAATGGTGGCAACACATCCAAATGCTGTCCATAATTCCAGGCATTTTATATGACCTTTGATCTTACAATTTTTATGCTAATAAAATACTACATCATAATTCATATTGTTGTTTTATAAATAGAAGAATGAAATAATGGAAGTCATCCGTGACAACTTCAGAAAGCCGACTTTCAACGGCTTTGCTGCTGTCTTCATCACGTCTAGAAATGTACAATCTAAACCGAAAGTCTTAAAAAATAATAAACAAGAAGATAATACAATTAATACAAATATTTAAATTAATGTAAGTACATTTAAAAGTTGTTTTTCAATAAAAAAAGATATATTATAAATATTGAAATTAAAATAGATATAGTTTAAAAGAAATTAAATGTAATTTCAAAAAGTAAATCAGAAAATGGAGTCGCTTCCTTTGTTATCTGTGGCAAAAGTCGGGAGACAGTGCACAGACGAAAATTTGAAATGGGAATTAAACTTTTCTGAGCCTGCGTTTGAGGGGTCAAAGGAGGTTGGGTTAGGGTCTTCTTGGAAATGTCTTTGGAGGTGGGGGAGGGGTGTGTAAAATTATTAACAGAAGGGACACAGAAAAATTGGTTTGTTTGTCAAGGCGAGGTTCAGATTCCTTCTTGGATTGAAAACTTTGAATAGTTTCTAAATCATCCTTGTTCCAGAATTTATTCTATTTCAAGAATTTTAATGTGTGAGTTGGGATGAAAGATGTAGCCTATGTTTATAAGCTGTGTAGCAAAGTATGTTGTTTGTATTGTGTTTCCACGCTTAAAATATTCTTTGATTCTGGCAATGAAGGTTTTGCCAGTTTCGCTTATGTATTTAGCTTTGGAATTGTATCAGTGGAGTTATAAACCCCTGATTTTGCCATTAGTGAAGTGGGGGTTGTGAAATGAGAGTAGGTGTTTGAGAAATTCATGTGATAAAAGAAAACATGAAAATTTGTTTATATTACTTAATGATCCTCTGTTTTGTGTTTGTTGGTAAAAGTTTCCAAATCGAATTTTAGATAATATTTTTGTTTTTGTTTTATTTTACTTGTTCAATTCAAATTTACTTGTACTTTCAATGTTTCTAAGATCAAATTCATCAGGTACAGGTACAAATTGGTAACTAGAATTGGCAGCTTCTATTCTTATTATTTTAAAATATTTTAAAGTGGATGGTTATATGAATATATAAATTGAACTAATACATCATTCAAAATACAAATAGAGACATATTTGATCTCCGAAACACAAGTAAAATAAAACGAAAAACTGATTGTCTAAAAATTGATTTGACAACTTTTATCACGAAGCATGGAAATTATATTTATGAAGAATGTAAGCTACATTTATTGATATTTTTTTAGTTTGAAATTAGAAAAATCAAAACTTTGGTAATTAACTGATACATGAGAAGGATGAACTGATTTTAAAAATAACTTTTGAAATTGTTTACTTAATTATTTAACTAACAATAAGCAGTATCCTCATTGTTAGTTAAATAATTACTGCAAGTCATATGTTTTTCCAATTATTTTTTTTTTACTTTTTAATGTTTAATTTTTATATACAGTTTCTGGCTATATTATTAGATGCACTCCAAATTTTTAACAAAATGTTAAGTTTTGAAGTCTCTCACTGCAGTACATTACATCTGGCATTGTTGCGAATCAATTAATAAAAACAAAGCTTCTTTTTTGAACAATTAACACATTATTTGTCATTATGTACCATTGTTGTGACATCTCTTTGTTGCTTAGACGTACAAATTACAAGAGTCGAGTAGAACAAGAGGTGACATGAGTAATGTGTTGTTGCATGAAGATGGTTTATTTTCCATTTATTAGTTTGTGAAATAGGTATAGCCGTGTTCATTTAAAAATTGTGAATCGTTGTATACGAAAAACTGATAGTTTTGAATAAAAATAATGGGAAAGGCAAGTGATTTGTCTCATCGGAAGATTGCAGCAGTGAAAGCTTTTGTCAACTCAGAAAATTATTCATATTGTGAGTTATCTTGAAGGTTGAACCATCCAAGACATCTATTCGGCAAATTAAGAAAAAAAATTGTCCTTGGTGAAGAATTATCTCCACGAAGGAAGAATACATGTGGACGGAAGAGAATATTTTCACCAAGATCTGAGAGATGTTTGAGGAAGATTTGCCATGGAAACCGGTTTGCTACTACTAAACAAATTAAATTTAAATTGGAAAGTAGTGGAATCTGTGTATCTGAAAGGAACAGTAAGGCGTACACTACTACAAATGAATTTGAAAGCTTGCAAACCAGCCCACAAACCCAGATTGACAGCTGGTATGAAAGAAAAACGTCGTGCATGGGCTAAGAACCTTAAGAAAAAAGATTTGGCTTCTGGAAATTGGTAAAAATTTAGTCTAGTGCTTTTTTTTATAAGTTAAATGGCCACCAAAATTAATTCTAATGACATTTTTACTTGTATTTCAGGTTTGTTTTAGCGACGAATGCACTTTTGAATTTCTAGCAAACAAGCATCATTTGTGAGAAGGCGCCCTGGTGAAAAAGTATCATTCAGACTTGTGTCATCCAAATTGTGAAACATCCAGTCAAGTCATGATTTGCTCAGTGATCAGTGGCTAAGGCACGGGGTGTCCGTACGGGTTAAGGGGATCATGAAACAAGACCAGTACAAGCAAGTATTGGAGAAACAATGCTGGCCTCAACTACAGAATGGTTTCTCAAATGAAGAATCATTTGTTTTCTATGCCAAGATGGTGGCTCCATGTCATACTGCTTGAACAGTTCGATCAATTTTTGTTGGAGAAAAATGTTCCTGTGTTACCATGGTCAGGAAATTCACCAGATATGAACCCGATAGAAAATGTTTGGGAGCTCATAAAGAGGGTAATCGCGAAGGAAGAAATAACAACAAAAATTCGCCGCCTTGAGAAAATGATTCAAGTCTGGTACCATCATCCAGAGTTGCAAGAAACTGTCCAGGCATGCACTAATAGCATACCAAAAAGAATTAAAGCTCTAATAGCCGCCATAGGTGGCTTGACAAAGTATTAAAGATATACATGTGGGTGGGGATTTTTTATGAAAATTAGTTTATATATTATACTGACAGTCATAATTTTGCATATGATATCTTCTTTCTATCGTAAGTATTCAATTATTACTTATGTATTTTGTTAAAAATAAAAAAAAAATACTTTTTTCGTCACAAAAACGTGATTTTTATTGAAAATTTAGGGTGTGTCGTATAATATGGTCAGGGACTGTATATACACACATACTAGCTGTTATCCGGTGCCTTGCTGCCGCAGAAGAAATAATTATGGAAATATGGCTAGAAAGAGTTATCTTGTTTAATTAGGAATGATAGAAAGAATATTTATTTTGTTGGTGATAATGAATAAATTTTCTGAAATAGAATGATGTTTAAAGGATAATAATTATTCTATTTTGTTGACTTAATTATTCAAGTGCCTCAGGGTAGACAATATTTAGTTTCAGACTTACCATTTCTATTTTTAATCATTAAAATAACGGCTCTGTATGTGCTTTATAATACATCTAGCATAAGTAGTCCTGTTCTCTTTCCCTCCTCTCTTTTCTTCCTTCTCTCATTCTTCCACTGTATTTCCCTCCTTCTCTTTCACTCTTTCCCTCTCCTCTCTCCAACCTGTCGCCCGCTCCTCCTGTCTTCCTAGACCTCGCGTCGCGTCACACGGCAACGCCCAGCAACAATGAAGCTCAGGTGGATTGGGAATTGCAATTTTCTGAAGCGTCATCCTGTGGAGTTACAATAATTGTATCATGCCTATATTCTTTCCATAAGTGCTAACAATAAGTTGGCAAAGTTGTATCGCGACTGGGCAGCCAATTGGTAACGTTTTTATGATTCCTCATATTAAACTCGCCCTGCTATGCTCATACATCAACTGTTCTTATAACTCAGTTTCGCTTGCTCAGTTTTTCTTTAAAATCTTGCATGAGTTCGACGTACAACATATGTCGTCTTATCTGCTGCACGTGGATGTGCGAGTGTACAGACATCACGATTCCTGGAACTTCTGTGGAATTTACTGATTCGATTGCAATTCAATGAAATTTCAGCCTTTATTTACAAACAACAATTAATATTTAATGTAAAATTCTAATAACATGTTTCGAGCTCGTTATTGATTAACGATTCTATGGCCTTTAACATTGTTAAACCGTACGGCTTTGATAAAGTTCGTAAGCTTACAGAATGTGTTCTCGGTTGGCTCGATGCCGCCGTCTTCTCCAAAAGGGGATGGTCTGAGTCGTCCTGTGGTATAATTTCTGAGCCTAATGTCTGTGTAAACTATAAATGTTTCCCGAGTGTCGGTAATTATACAGTCCACTTTTTGGAACTCCCTACTTCTTCTTTATTATTGCGCCGCGACTTTCTCTCTCTCGCCTTCGGGTGAAACCTCTATTCAAGACTATTTCCTTTAAATTAACAATTTAAAACTCCCACTACAAACCAGAACAAACTCCCAGAACAAACATCACATAAACCCACGAACACGAAGTCTAAATATTTTTAAATGCAAACTTCCTACATGACAATAAATGTAACTATCATTGAAATATACATACATTTACCACTCAAAACTCAAATGAACAATATTGCTTAGCCTACACTATTATGGACTGATCAAATAAACATTCACCCACAACGTAAATCTACAATGGAAATATTAATGTTATAATGTTCATTACCATCGGAACTGCTAGGCTACCTTCGTAAGAATTATATTATCTATCATTTTGCTGGAGATAAATTTCAACGCCTTCTAATCAATTCCATGTTAATAACACCAGACCGTGCCAGTTCCTGTCTAGCATTCATCATGGCACGCCTTTATGCTTATAGTTCGTTGTTATGTTACGCGAATTCCTTGGATTTTAACATTCTCGATGCATCAATGCCATCGTAATGACATTCTGACATTTCACCATCTAGGCGCAAATTCACGGGGGAAAATAGGGAAATTTATTACTCCCGCAAAAAAATCAGTAACTATTAATTTTAACTTCTCATTAAACTTCGTAGTAACTACTGGTGCTAAAACGGCACGCTCTTTTTCCGCGTATTTCCACGCAACATTACGTGAAAAGTACTCAAATTTTTGAAAAATTATTCATGGCCTTTAAAACCTATCTTTAAGGAAGATATTTCAATAAGAGAAAAATCTCCATCTTTAATGTTTTAGTTGTAGTAAGACATAAATCATTCTGAACTTTCGCTGTATAAAAAAAATCAGGGTTTTTAACGAAAGTGCGTCCTGCACCATTCTCTTAAATGTCCTTCACAGTATCCAACAAAAAATAATAAATGTTGGAGAATTTTTTAAAAATAATTTTCAAAAAAAACTAATCAATTTGACAAATATCCCAGATTCTTCATATAAATTACCCCCAAAAAACTAAAATATTGTTTTCAAATTTAAGGGGCCGCGTCATCAGAAAGATTAATTGGGGAAGATCAATTTTGGAGAAAATCGGCTGAACGGATTAGCCGCTAGCGTTGTTGACGGACAGATAGGTTTTGCCGTCATTCGATTTTTTGGTATCAAGGACCCACAAAACATGGATTCTGACTACACTACGTGTTGAGGAATTTTTTTTATTTCTAATATTTGTATGCGAATGTTATCCACTTTTTCGGTACCGGGCCTGCTGTAATAAGAGTTTCTAATAGAAAATTCGCCCTTATTTCGCTCAGCATTACATAACTTTCTTCTACAGTAAAGCAGAAGTAAAAAACAGAAAAATTCAATATACCAAACACCTCAACTGCATCACACGTCCGCCAGATCTTTAAAATGTAAGGCGTTATCTTTCCTACAGCCCCTGCCCACGGGAAGATAAGGGACTGCGTGGACCAGATCTCTAGAGACCCAAGACTAAACGGACTATTCTACACCACCATCTCTTACCACTTTAACCGAGCTACAAACTAACAAAGAGACAAATTTGTAATCAAAGGACTCCCGGCCAAATACGACTTGACCGCCCTTAAAATTACTTCATACCACATCTCTGAGATGAAACGACGAGACGCCGACGGGACATTGACCCCAATAGGCCTGTACACAGTGGAGACCAACAAAAAAGAAATGACAGGCATCAAGAAAGTACTAAGATACATTGACTACTTTAGAGTGACAATTGAAGACTACAAGATGACAGAATACCCCAGTGCAGAAATTGCCAAAGACTGTACCATACGAAGGCCTATTGCAGGAGACAAGCGACTTGCGCCCTCTGCGCTGTCGCTTGTCACATCCAACTGAAGACTGTCCCTCCCACACGTGACAAACCGTTCACCCCAAAACGTATCAAATGCTCCCTAAACCATTCTGCCTACGACCCACAATGCCCCTTCACAGTGCTATCCAGAGAACAACCGACACGCACAGATGACCAAATCATAAAGCCATTCACCCCTAACCAACTCATTCCAAAACTTCCTCCCCCCGCCCTAAGACCCCAAAATCAATCTTACGCCTCTGCCACCAAACCAAGCCAAACTATTCAATCAACTACCCAAGACATAAATTACTTCTTCTCCCTTCTTCAAAATCCCACAGTGAAAAAGATAATCCTCAACTTAAAACCCCTCCTCCAAATCCTCAAAGGCCCAGAGGCCATCTTCACTAAACTCATTACAGCAGGAATCAAATTAGTGGAAATACTCAACTAATGGCTCCCTCTCCCAAAATTTTTACCCTATCCTCATGGAACGCACGAGGCGGCATAAACCAGAACAAAACCATCCTCACCTCATTCCTTAAAGATAACTCCATCGGGATACTATTCTTACAAGAGACGTGGCTGGCACCCGACAGATCCTTTTCCAACCCTAACTACAACACAAGGTCCGATCGAACCTCAGCCGCTGGAGGAGGAACGGCAATCCTCATCCAACGATCCATCCCACACACCCCTTACCAACTCCCTCCAACATCCGTCCTAGAATGCACTCCACATCTCAAATACGTCTGATATCCTGTTACAAAGCCCTCCACACCGATTCCAGACTCCGACCTAGACACCCTTAAAAACCTTTCCTACCCCTTCATTATCGCAGGCGACCTCATGGGGCTGTATGGCTAGTAACAGGACCGGCTTACGACTAGAACATTTTGTAGACACAAACCCCCAAATCCAAAAAAGTAACCTTACTGAACTACCCCCTTTGTTCGACAACATCCTCATGATTCCTGGATATTAAATCCTCCAAATACTAATAACCATACCCCACCTCAAAATATGACGTATTGAGCACTCTCCAATACTTTTCACCAGCCTCCTTCAACTACATATGCTTGCAACCCCCTCATACAAAACAGACTGGCAAAAATTTAAACAATCTCATAACCATTGGAAATGAACGCAATCCCCGTGGACACCAGAAATGTTGCGAAATGGTAAAAAATTGTTCTAGGTAATAATGAACACATAAAAAAAAAGTTAAGATAGTAATTGTAAATAAATGAATTTCACTTGCTGGCACATCGTTTTAAAATGTGTTATCAAATTACAGTATGTTCATTTAAAAAATATAAAGCTGAAGGTAGTTTTTTTTTTTGAATAAAATATAAGTAATTCCTTAAGCCAAAATTTTTATTGGTAAGCAAAGGATAATAGTTGTATTTTCTTCAGGGGTTCTATGCAGATCCAACTTAGGATCACATTTGTAGATGACACCTCAAATATTACTCACACAACTTTTCTTGAATGATACATTGAAGAAATTCTGATAGAGTGGGGGTTTAGTTACGTAATCAACCACTACATTTTATGAAGCAATAGCAATCTCTGGAGAATCAGTAATGCCTTTGCAACTTTGTCAACAATTAGTGTTCTAATTTTCTCAGGAGTGCAATGTATCTCTTGAGATGCATCTTCACATGCTTTGGTCGTTTCTTTAGATTTGTTGAAGAAAATCATGAACAGAATTTCTCGTCTTCAAGAGAAAATAAGTTTCTATTCACGCCAGTGAAGATGTTTTTGGAATGTTGTCATCCGTACTTTCTGCGAGCTTTTGCCTCCAGAGCTAGAGAGGGGGAAGCAAGGTCATTGTTCAAGAAAAGTTGCACGAGTAGTATCTCTGCATCAAAACAAAAATTAACAATTTATAGTTATATTCCCAATTTTTGTTTCACAATTTGGTCAAGATAATGGAGAAACTCCAGAACTGTTCTGAGTATTCATCATTTTCAAAAACACATTCTGTCACTTCCAACAACAGGATTAAAATTTCATGGCTGGTGCCAATAACAATAGAACATGAAAAATAACTGCAGACAAAAAATATCAATTTCTGTTTACAACAGTGAACTAAAGTTCCTCAACTATAGCCCACACTAACAATTATTAATTAAACAAAACTTATTTCAAGAAGATTTATTAACAAATACAAATTTTTATACTTGATAAATTCTTATAATACATTGAATTACAAGGAAATACATTATTTGAAATATAGTTATATTCTTAAAGGAATTCAATTATGTTTCAGGGAAACAATAACCTTGTATCCAGTAATTCAGGGAGATTCATTTCTATGTCATTTACTATTTTCCCATCACAACCATCAACCTCATTTTCCTCTTCTAAAGAAAATTTACCTTTGGGTTCTTTCAATTCGTCATATCCATCTGCAAGATAAAATACAAATATGTATGCAAAGCTGATAAAAATCCCTTTTATATAAAGTTAGGTAAGAAGGCAGTATTATTACAAGCAAACTTGATACTTACTGAGTATTCTTAACATAATTGTGCTGTCATTTTCAGACATTTTCAAAACTTTTGCACTAATGTAATGAGATATACTAGGGCAGTAATCAGAGCCCATTTTCAACTTCTATTAAAAAAAAAAGAAAAGAAAAGTACATATAATTGCAGACATCCGGGAGGAAAAATATGTATTAATTAATTTAGTATATCATTTATTTTAAAAACATAAACACCTTACCCTAAATGCAATGATATCATTTACTCTTGGAGCATCCTTTAATAGAGGATATTTTGAAAAATCTGTTTCAGTCTCTTTGCTCTCAGACTGATTATTTGATATTCTGTTTGTTCTTTTACACTCAAAAATCATAGGCGTGGTACTAGTTTGGATAACAAAATTATTAGAATTATTATTAATTGGAACATCAGAATTTGACTTCATGTTATATTCATTCTTTGTAGAACTTCTATTAATTGTATTCGAGAGATCTGTTTCTTCAGAGGGTTGAACTGAAACACAATTGTCCAATGCATTATTTTCAGAAACATCAAGTTTTGTATTATTATTGGAATTTTTATCTTCTTCTTCTTCTTCTTCATCTTCAAATTTTATGTGCTTTGGGGCCTTAAAAGAGCTTTTTGTGTAAATAGGAAACTCTGTTACATGTTGCTCAAAGCAATTGCGATCGGATCTTGAAGGCTTACAACGCTTCCGACGTCTCCTCTTTTTACAAGAACCATTATCCACATGCTCGCTTTCTTCTGCATCTCTATTGTTATGTAATAGGTCTTGCCTTTCACCATTATGAATATTTGTTTTAATAGATGCAGATGGAACACAAGGACTTCCCTCTGGATCTACCTTGAGAGTCTGTTCACTCGGTAATTCTACAGTACTATTACACACATTTCCAACTGCTTTCTTCTCAGGCTTTAATGCAGAGAGTGACACTTCTTCAGTATCATCACATATCTCAGTAACTGCATCCCTGGATGTAAAATTAGTAAGTACAGTTGTACTGTTATTCAAAGTATCAGGTTCTGTTTCATTCTCTTGCGAGCGCATTTTGTGTTCAGTAGGAATATTATAGTGCAAATTTGTATCAAAATTTGCAACAATTGAAGTCTTATTAATAGGTACATCAGAATGTGACTTAATGTTATATTCATTCTCAGATTTTCTTTTCTTCCTAAGATTTTTACTTTCTTTCATGACTTCTTTAAATATTTGTTTCTCTTTAGTTTCATCTGTAGATCTTGACTTTTTTCTTTTCTTTGGCTTAGATACAATTATATTTTCATCACTTTCATTTTCTGCAGGGTTATCCATTCCTTCATTTATTTGATCATTCCATGATTTTGTAAAAATGTCAGGATCCCGAAAAATATGCCTTTGCCCATTATGTTCATTTTGGACGTTCATGGCACATCTATCAGGACCGATAACTCTACAAAAAAATAAATATTATTAGTAATTAATTTAATTTTAACAAGAGCACACTAAAGACTCAGATTTCCTTTAAGTTAAAGTATTCAGTCAAAATTAGAATATATTAGTGCCTAATCAATAATTTGAAAATATCATAAAACCCCACCTGACCACATCTTCATTGTATAAAATCCGAACATCTTGTTCTTTAGGTATATAGCACTGATTTATTTCCAGAAAAATATCTGTATTCAAATCAAAAGTTGATTTAATGTCATTGCATACGTCACGAACTATTTTATTCCTGGAGAAATCTATGAAATGGTAACATTTCCTTCGTTTATCTTTAAAGAACAATTCCAAATCAAGTACGATTCTTACACCTGGAATTGACTTATACGACATCTTGATTTACTCAGGCTGTATTCATTAAATCTTGCATGCAGTCACTACACTGTTCGCTTCATTAGATCAGTCATCACTATTACAATGAACCACTATTAAAGCAAATAATGCTCCCACTGTACCGCGCGGATTGTGGCGGCTTGTTTGTTTGGTTCTGGGGATGGCGGTTCAGGGCTAGTAAACTACGTGTAAAATCTCGTGCTAGCTGTGCCTCAGTGCTGCGCTCGAACGAGTGGCAATATTACTATGCCAAGTCTATGTGTGGGGGTTATGACATAATACATACGCTCGACCAATTAGATGAATTGAATGTACTGTGAGGTATTTTTGAATATGCAGTCCTTTTGAACACTTGATTTCCAATTTGTTTTACGATTCTGTGGAAAATTTGGAATAGCGTACCATGGTATAGGCCTAAGATAAAAATATAATGGAATAAAATAATGTAACAATTTTATTACAACAAAACCAAGAAAACATACACTGGTGTTTGTGAAAATTGCAACACCAGAATGAATGGTTGGAATCTGTAGATGTGTAAGAAATTATTAAATTTGCATACAGATGGTGAATAAAAAAAAAATAAAAAAAATAAATAAATAAATAAATAAATAAATAAATAAATAAATAAATAAATAAATAAATAAATAAATAAATAAAAACAATCAAACAAACTTAACAAGCACTCCTGATAGCCAGCAAGAAGCGTCTATCTTTAAAGCTATAAGGGATAACAAGGGGCTGTCTAGTAATTCATAAGTTTTCATGCTAAATATTTTCGAATACTTTTAACGTAGGCATATGTTTAACTTCTGAAAATTTGTGGTGTGTACATAATAAAACGCTCATTCCAAGTTTATCATAAAACACAAATTTATTAGTACTATAAGAGAGATAATAAAATCTACACGTACTATGCTGAAACAAAACAAGGGACCATCTCAGCATTCGTTCTATGCAGAGGAGGGATTCAGGGGCGGCAACCACCCCCCTCCAATCTTGGGGTAAATTTTGCTTTTTAACATTATTTACTTAGAAATTAAATAGTTTCGTGCCTTAAACCATGAGTCATAACCCTCAAATGTTAACTCTCAAAAAGAAAGAGTATTTTCCGTTATTATAGATATAGATAGAGGTAAAGGTAATCCGTTATTAAAGATATAGATAGAGGTATAGGAGCCATTTATACAAAACGAGCTCCCTTGGTATCTTCTCATACGTCGCAAATATTCTAGCAGGAATGATTTTAACAACTAGTTTAATAACTACTTTTGCCATCATAGCTCTATGGTTCAGTTGTAAATGAGAGCTCATGTGAAACAGAGGTGTTCTTGTTTTCTCGATTCTAAAAAGCTTTGGAAGTTTAAGTCTTTGGCTTTTTATTACTGTTTGAGTTCCCTTTGACCAATTCTAATTCTTTACGAATGAAATACAATTTTTTCATTGTTTTTATGCCTGCAATCTGTAATTTCAAACGTATCAAAGACCAGGTGTAGTTTGCAGAATTTTAATATGGCGATGGTTGTAAAATGAGCCACGAACTATGGTACACATATGAGCCTGAAACTTTTAACGGGCTCATATTGCATACACTACAACTTGTGTTCGCACTATTTTTGTTTTCGATGCCACAAAATATTCTAGATCCCAAAACAAAAAGGAATTAGTAGTGCTAGAGAATAACACATACTTTGTCGTTCTAGTTAGTTTGTTAACTTCTTTGGTCGGGGCTAGCTTTTTGGTCGTGCCCCAACCTCTGTTCAGCTCCAATCTTTTGCAGCCCAAATCTAATTTTTTCACATTTGCTAAATTTTCCTAAAGGCAGAACAGAAAAAATACTTGAAGATTATTGTTGGAGAGTAAAACCCCGCCCTATATTGAAATTTTCGTAGAAACATTTGGTGCCATTTTTATGAAAATGGCGTTTAAGCGTTACAGTAGGTACGAAATTTGAAGCTCTTTTTCACATAAAACTATTGATATTTCAAAACACTTTATTGGAAGTCGTTTAAATCACTGCCACTTACAAATGCAATAATATACACAAACCGCCGAAAATATGCATATTAACGGCGTAAGAGATATTTAAAAAAATTACATTTGTGTAAGTTTTGAAGAAACAAAAGAATGCAGCAAAATGAATTTTATATCATCATAAACAGTGCAATTAGCATTATTCGTACAAAATGTTTAAAGAAAAAACATTGGAGCCATTTTTGAGAAAATGATGTTTGAGTGTTTCTGAAAACGCGGAAATTTGAGCATGTTTTCACAGAAAACTGTTGAGATTTCGAGAAACTTTATATGGCATTTTTTAAAGCACATGGGGTCATAAAGGCAAGTATATGAACAAATCGCCTCCAATAAATATCATGGAGTGAGAGACAAGTCAAAAAAATACATTAGTGCAAATTTTTGAAAAAACAAAAGAATAGAGCAAAATAGCGCTAATGTTATCTTATATAGTACATTTAAGACAATCCATCCCAAAAGTTTAAAGAAAAATTAGAACAGTTTTAGAGAAAATAATTAAAACATTGCGCGAAAACTAATAACATTTCCAAAAAGTAGTTTTTGAGAAAGTTTTGAAAATGTCTGAATTGCTTCTAGTAAAGTATCCCCAAATTTTAATGATATTTTTTTCAAAATCTCAAAGATTTGACTAGTACCAGATCGACACGGATTTCTTCAATTTGGATAAAATTCCTACGCATGGTTTAGGCGCTAGTAGTATTTACAGACACCAGACGAAAGGGCAGACAGATGGACATTTTGAAACAAACACCTTTTCAGTTTCAGGGGACTCCACCATCATCCTCGTGTATTTCCGTTGAAATCTCGATATCCATTTTCCGCAGTCTCACATAACTTTTTGTATACTACGTAAACGGGAAAGTAAAAAATTTGCCTGACCTAAACGAAAGACTTAATTATGGAGAAATTACTACTTAAAGGAAAAAGGTTGTCTTCAATTTTGTAGTTGAACGAAGACGGTTTCTGGCAATTAAAAAAAATCAGTGTTATCCGTGAAAATCGATCAGACCTATGATATCTTTATAAATGTATTACACTCTCTTTTTACAAGAAATGTAAAAAAGTCGGAGTCGTATTTTGAGAAAATTTCCCAGACTTCACGTAAAATACGTCGTCTGCCAACTGATGGCACTGTACGATATTTTTTGGCGATGAACTCCGCTATGCTTCCATTTGCGGCTGTTTCGTTTGTGGCTCATGGTAAAGGAACCATGTCTCATCACCAGCCACAAGTCTAGTCATGACGACGGCTGTATCTTGATCATGGCGTTGCAGAAGTTCTCTTCTCACGTCAACACACTTCTGATTTTGGTCTGGAAACAAGAGTCTAGGCACCCACCTGGATGACACCTTCCCCAATTGTACGTGGCCGTGCACGATCCGCTGGAGGGTGTTTGGGCTATTTGTAGAGCCTGGCGTCATTTCCATAAATGTGATGCATTTGTTTCCTTAGATGGTCTATCCAACCCGGGCAATGTCGAGTTGACACTGTCACATTCCTTCCAGAACTAGTTCCCTCTTCCACCGATGTGCGCCCTGTTTTCCTACCTTCCACCCAGTTGTAAACTCTGTTCCCCACAGACTGCCACCAAGCACCGATTAATTTTTGCAGTGGTCACGCCTTCTTTCCATGGGAACAGAGTCGTTTAGTGCTGTCCCTGACGGGTGTTTCCATGTTGTCTGCTCCTATGCTGACAGTGTTGTTATAAAATGGCTCTGATGAGTGCATTCGTTGGCTCCTGTGCGTGTGCTGCTACAAACGGTGGAAGAAGACATTAGATACACGTCATCACCTTCAGAAGTAAAATGTGAACCACGCCCGGATGTACAAAAAATAAAATGTAAAACAAAACAAAATAGTACGCCCCTCGTATATACGCCGCACGTCGATGAACTGGTGCTGCCTCTTACTCGCCATTGAGAGCGCTGAAGTCGCACCGGATTACTCATATTTATAACTCTACCGTTATTCGTTTTTTTACAGTTACTCATATTTATAATTCTGTCGTTATCCGTAACGGTATAATTATAGTTATTCTCCTGTTAATTCATAATATTTTGTAGATGTCTACATTTTACACATAAATATGAACGAAATAATATATCTTCAAAGAGATCATCAAATTTACATGTATTTAAATATGAATAATTTCTAAAATTTATAATAGAATAATTTATTATTTACAATACAAATAATATTTATATCTAATTTATTAAATTTCCCGCTAAGTGATAAAACTATTTCCCCCCCGCTGACTACACTGAAACCACAAAATCTGGGGGAATTCTGCCGATCAGGCAAAACTCACTACAACAAAATTAAATATTTTAAGAATTCCGATCGAGGTAACATGAAGAATTCTATTCGGTAATTGTAAATAAATCTTAATTGTATGGCTGTTCAAAATGTTAACATCGCTCATTTTGACAAATCGCAAGACATGTAGCAGAAGGAATAGTAAGCCTGTTTACAAATTAATTTACGAGTATTTAATCATTTTGTTAAAAAAAAAAAAACTCGTAGAATACAAATTAAAGAAAAAAGAAAAATCGCACGTGACGAAGACGAGGCGCTTTACACAACATTACTCCATACTAAAATATTGCTTCCTTAGGCCCTTGTCTCCTGTGTCTATGCGTGAATCCGCCCCTGGTGATGGCTATTTGCCAGCCGACCGGCTGAGATCGCCGTGCGCTCGGTCGATCGCCTGAAACCGGACTCCGTTCCGGCGAACTGCGAATCACAGAAAACTGCTGCCACTTCGGAATAAATTTCGAATGCTGTATTGCAGGATCAAGAAGGAATGCTGAATTGTAATTAAAATAAGCGATCAGAAATTTCCATTTTACAGAATTTATATTTTGAACAAAGTTTTAAAGATAATTTTTATTTAATAATATTTACAATGGCAAAATTCGTTTCGGCCTCCCCCCCCTCCCAGCAGACTGGTGAATCTGAAATTTTTAGAACTACTGAAGTTATTTCAGAGAGTTAAAAAGGGGGATTCACATGTTTATAAATTTACTTTCTCACACTTACTAATACAATAAGAGAATATATTGTAATCGTGCGCCGAAAATCGGCGAATTTTGGGCGTAAATATTTCTTGTGTGGCCCTGATTAAGAAAAAGTGTATAAATCCACTTGCTAAATAT